TAGGCGCGGTAGAGGCGTTCGTCATGGTCACCAACTCAACGCTATAGCTGTCTCTCTTGGTATCGGACTTGCTTAGAGAGAACGGATGTGATTGCTGCATGCTTTGTTTGCAGCACCTTCACCAGCCAGGGGTTGAGTAGAAAGTAAACGGCGGCGTTGTATGTATGTATGTACACATGTAACGTAAATAATGTAAATATGAATAAACAACGGTTTAACTGATGTTCTGAAGGCATATACGTGTAGAAGGGAGGGGTTGAGGGGGGGTCGTGGTGTACTTTGGGGCTCCGTGGGGTCATGAGGGGGTGGGGGGGTGGGGGCTCCGTGGGTCCTTTTGGTCAAAAATGTCGCATTTCACCCAATCACCAAAAACTCATCGGATATCGACGAAGCTCGACGCCGCGGTCACGCCCAAAGTTGTTTCACTTTCCAAATCGTTTTTTTTCGAAAGATATCGCGAAAAACAAGATTGTGAATATTTGCCCGAACGGACCATATGATTGGGTTTTCGTCGCCTAGCAAACATTGTGAGATAAGCCAATTCATTTCGTGAACTCGGCAACCAGGTTACCGCTTTTTTGTACCTCTTTGTTTGGCGGTAACCTCAATGGTGGTCGAGTAGATCATGTTGTGCGGCGTTGAGAACCCTCACTCCGCGCAAAGGGGATGATCGCACCAAGTTGTGTTAAACTGGTCAAGCACCCTCGAGGCAGTTACACAGTGCTTACAACTGTCTCTGGGAGTGAAAGCACCAGAAAATGAATGAAGTCATACGCAGCTGTCATCCGCACGCAAGGAAGCAAGCACAACATGCCGAACACCCTTAGCAGGATGCAGGGCACCCTTCGTGCGACACTCCGAATACCTCACGGTGCTTCGTGCTTGGTGATGTGAGAGCCTGGTCCGGTGATAACCCGGCGTGCTCCATCCCGGCTTTGTAGGGATGCGAGGTCAATAGTCTGAGGACTACGGCATGCACGCACGACTATGAGTTCACCCCCCCCATCAGCCTCCCCCCCGGTGTTTGCCATCGGGGTTGGGCGTTCCTCGCTTGGCAACGAAGTTGTAAAACAAGCCCCCCCCCTCGGTGTTTGCCATCGCTATCGGGATTGGGTTTTCGTCGCTTGGCAACGACGTTGTAAAACAAGCCAATTCACTTCGTGAACTCAGCAACCAGGTTACCGTTTTCTTTTTACCTCAGTGTTTATTTTTGGCGGTAACGTCAATGGTGGTCGAGTAGATCATGTTGTGCGGGATCGAGAACCCTCACTCCGCGCAAGGGGGATGATCGCACCACGTTGTGTTAAATTGGTCAAGCACCCTCGAGGCAGTTACACA